TGACCTTAATAGAGCAAAACCACCGAGGATGTCTTCATCGCTACCAAGTGATAAACAAGCGAAATCCGAAGCAATAAGGTAATTTTTTGAGAAAATTTGTTATTGAGCGATCATATTTTTTTCAGGCTTACAACAGGTAAAATAAATCTCTGATATCACTTGTAATACTATTGTTTTTAACAGAGTGTTGATGCATGTACTTGATATATATTGAATTTATCTGAATGGAAATGACCCTGTAACGTTTACGGACTCTGTTTAGTCACCAAGGTTATTCTGATATTTTTTGCAGATGAAGTTAGCTTATTTGTTAAGTGTATAGTGTTAGAATTCATAGTTTCTTTTGTTACAGACAAGAGAGTTTTGTGAAGAAGCGACAATTGGAAAAACAACGTCAATCACTGATAGCAGAAGCACTGAAGAATGTTGATTCACCGGCATCCAAATCCAAGAAGATCGTTTTCAATTCAGATTCAGAGGATGAAAATCAAACAACGTCCCAGGTATTTTTTTCTTTTAAACCAGTTCTTGTTCAACCTATTTCATTGATCTGTCACATTCCAGGAATCCTTTTTCCAACGGTTTCGGGCATTTTTCTCGAATTTTTGATTGTTTTACATTTTAGAGGCATTGTTTATCAACGATTTGAGCAGTCATACTTAAAATGTGATTGATTTTCATCCACAGTCGAAGAATAATTGAACCACCAAAAAGGAAGAGTTGTGAAAGTCAGGAATTTTGATGGCATATTGTAGGCTCCAGTTGAAAGTAGCTCTACCACTCAAAACAACTCGAATATTCGATTATTCGAGAATGATGGAGATGAGGGTGAAGAAGATAACGTTGAGGTAAACGATGATCACATTTTATTTTCCTATCAACTTTGACGAATTTTGAAAATTTTCAATAAATATGTGTTTGGGCATAATCGCACAACATTAGGTCAGTAATTAGCTGATACTTTGATTTGAAGCTGTCGATCAAGAATCGTCATTTCGGCCCGAAAGGTGCAAAACTGATGGCACTGGAGGCGAAATTCGGAAACGACGAACGATTCCGAATGAACGAAAAATTTTTGGATGAAGACAAGACGAATGAGGAAGAAGTTAGTGGTGCTTTTATTTGTTCACTGAAGTTTTTGATTCAGTGCGCAGAAGTGTTGCTTTGATGCAGCGAGATAAGATCTCGTGCTGAATTATTTTGATTTGTCACAAATTGTTCTAATCAGAGAGTTTTTAGAAAAAGCGATTATTTCAAAGTGTATTTCGAATAATCGTAAAGTTATCAGAAAATAGAAAACGTTCCCATTTTAAGGTAGATGGTGAAGCCATGGAGTTGGCGAAAGAAAAGAAAACAGAATTCGAAATCTTATCGAAGGTATTGGGGAGAACTATACGAAGTACAAAGTTGAATGAGAATGCGGTCGCAAGCAGTCAAAAGAAAGCTCCATTCTTAAGGTTCGATCCCGACAATCCAGCACATGTGAAATGGTTGAATGAACAACAGCAGCTGAACCACGCAAAAGTTTTTATTTTCTCAAATTGGTTTTGTTTGAAGCATGTTGATATTCGATTATTACGATTTTCGTCCGGAATTCTTTCGCAAAAAGCATTCAGGAGCATTGGTACTGCTATTTATATATTTCAACAAATGATCTAAATTCGTAAGAGGAAACTTCTAAGCAACAATTTTCATGAATTTATGTTTTATAGGACAACGAAAACAACGACCAAGAATCAAGTGACGACAGTGTCGGTGAAGAGGATGAGAGGAACAGTGTGGAACAGGATGAAAGCGAGGAAACCGATGAAGCCTTAGCGACAGAAGGCAGAAAATTTATCGAAGGATACTATTATGACTTCGATCAAAGCTTTGCTGAAAGTTTGAAGAACTCATTGAAAATTCAAAGTTAGTTTTTTTTTCTAATGCTAGCAATTAGCATGTGAAAGGTTCGGGCTTTTTAATTAACGTTCCGTAAATCAGAAGTTGAAATTGGAAAGGTTCGAGTTCATAATATAATTATGGTCTGAAGGAGTGTCTTAAGAATATCACAGAGAGATGAACTGTTGAAGAAGTTTAATTGCTGAATGAATCGATAGCTTAATTATTGTTTTGCACAATGTATATTATCGTTTTGGGTTNCTCTTGTTCTGAGGAGGCGAAATCGTCTCCAGTGAATAGAGTGGGTTTTGTCTATCAATGAATTGTATTTGAGTAGTATTCAAAATTCAAAATATATGTTCGGAAGTTTTTTTCGATGAAATTACATTATTTATGTACATTTGCAAAACGAATTGTAAAATTTAATTTTTGCGCAAATATTTTTCATACTGAAATTTTGTTTGAAATGGTGATGATAAATCGAATTTCACGCGTCTACGAATCCTGCTTTGACGATGTTCTTTCTAATTTAATGGATTGTACGTGATTGTTCAATGAAAGTTTCATTGTAGTTATTGTAGGACAGCGTGAGGAAATTAGACGATGAACCAGAAGGTGAGACATCGCTGGAGAAGGAGGAACCAGGCGAACCGAAGCGAAAGCATGTGAAGTCATCGGCGCAGTTACCAACGGACCTGTCCGCAGCCACGACATCACTTGACGATGGCTTTTGCTTCTTTCTTAGGCATACGGATCCGCAAATTGCGAATTCTGTTCAGAATTTCTGCCGGAAACAAAGTGTCGAATCAATCAAAAAGAACTGGAGCAATATACGAACAAGTATTGTGAAGGTACAATACTCATTACCCTTTCGAGATGATTTTAATCAAATTTTCGTTTTTTGGATTGACAATTGTTTAAAACCAGAAAAAGTACTGTGTGAAAAAAACTACTTGTCTGCCTCATAAGAGGGCGGATGGTTCTGTTGGTGTGTTGGTTCTGTTCTAGTTTGAAAGATGTCGAAAATGTCGTTTCAGTATTTGATAAATTTGGCGTTCTTTCACTTCGCTCACGATCAGATAAATATCTTCTTTCAGATTTACAAAGGACAGCGAAAACAAGCGTTGAGACAGAAGAAGGAAGAAGAGAAACAAGCAATGAGGTCGATTAATTCGGCGAAAAATGCTAGCAAAAAGATTAAATTAAACAACGGTAAGTGTAATATACCGTTAAAGTCACCATTTTAGTTGAAGTCTTCATGGTTTTTGTTATTGCTTTATTACATTGTAGTGTTATTAAAGCTCTGATTTTTTAATCATGCGTGGACTGATGATTGGATTCTTTTATTGTTGGAAAATTGTCTTATTTCAAACTATATTTTAGTCGCCAATATTGCGAAAATATCGACTTCACTGTTGAATTTGTGAAAAAAAATTTCATTCACTGCTATATGTTTTCATAATTGTTTGTGAACCATTCAAGGTCCAGGGGAACTCCGAGTATTTGTTCCGTTATTTATTTAAAATTTCGTCTTTTAGAAGATGAAATGATTGTTGATCGTGTTGATGAAAATCTTGGCGGTGACACAGAAATCATTCAGTCAAAAACCA